CGTCGTACGTTGTTTTAAAATCGAAGTATTATAGTATATATGATAAAATACATATAACAGCTACATAATTATATAAATAATGCTACGAAAAGAATATTTTGTAAAAGTAAACGACGATGGATATTGAAAAGTCTTCGGATTTACATGTGGAACGTGGGTGGTGGCTCCATCTGTACTCAGTCGTTTAGCGCAGGGGTTTGACACGTATGCTGTTTTCCTTCTGTCCGGATTCTGTATAAATGTTAGTGAAACAAATAAAAGATATCGTTGCCCTTTGCTGTCGTGCTACTACTTCGTGATCAGGTGCGTGAAGCTCTATCAATGATCTGTAAACTATCCTCAAACTGTCTTGTATTTAGTAACAGACCGACGCAATATATGTTCAATGCGAACTTAACCTCGCTTCCCATTTGTTTTCCGAATAACTTCATGAGGTCTATTTTTCATCGTCTCTTAATTCATTTCAGGCGGTGAGAGATTTTTTTTAGACAGGATATAGAACAACCGGAAAAATGAGCACCGTAGCAGAACAACCTTGCTACACTCTGATAAACATTCCGACCGATACTGAGCCCTTGAACGAGCTCCAGCTAAAGCAGGATTTGGAGAAAGGCGATGTCCAGACAAAGATCGATGCACTTAAAAAAACAATTCACATGATCCTGTCCGGCGAACGTTTGCCAGGACTCTTGATGACCATCATCAGGTTCGTCCTGCCGCTACAGGATCACACCATAAAAAAGCTGTTGTTGATATTCTGGGAGATTGTACCAAAAACATCACCTGATGGGAAATTGCTTCAGGAAATGATTTTAGTCTGCGATGCTTACAGAAAGGACTTACAGCATCCAAATGAATTTGTGAGAGGCTCTACTTTAAGGTACAGACCTAAATTTTCTATTTTAATGATTCGAAAATAAAATATCGTAATTTTCAGATTTTTATGCAAACTGAAGGAGCCAGAACTTTTGGAGCCTCTGATGCCTGCGATAACTGCATGTCTAGAGCACAGACACTCCTATGTCAGGCGCAATGCAGTCTTAGCTATTTTTACAATTTACAGGAACTTTGAGTTTCTCATACCGGACGCACCAGAATTAATAGCGAAGTATTTGGAAGGCGAACAGGACATGTCATGTAGGAGGAACGCGTTTTTAATGCTGTTGCATGCTGACCAAAGCCGAGCACTGGCTTATTTAGCCGCTTGTCTTGACCAAGTGCCCAGCTTTGGTGATATACTACAGCTGGTTATCGTAGAATTAATTTATAAGGTACACACACTGAACAGAAAA